GGCAGCAGAGGCAAAGTGCATCTTGAGAAGGAATTGGCTGCTGGAAGGACTGAAGCAGCCAACAGAAGGCTTTTTTTAGTCAAAAACTGTTACTCCAGTGGCAAAAAGGGGACTTCACCACCACAGGCAAGCTCTGACTGTAGACCCATTCACAGTTTTGCCAGCAGAATCATGTGGTATACACCAGGCCAAAGCCTTCCAGGTTTCCACTAAGAACAATTTAGCAGTGAAAAAAGCAACTAGTGATGGTTATACAGCACATTTTTGTGGAAATACACAAGAGGATTGAGGAGCCTGAAAAATTCAGCAAAAATCATTTTAGTCGGAAGCACTCTGGGTTTGTGGAAACAACACAGAGCAAACTTCTTCATAGTTAGAGTGTGCAGACTGTGGCATAAGCTCCATCCAGAAGTGGTGTGATCATCTACCATGAAGATCTTCAAGAGAAGACTGGATGGTCATTTTGCTGGGGTCATATGACCCCAGTTGTCCTTCATGCCTAGTGCAGGGGGCTGGACCTCATGATCTTGCAAGGTCCCTTCCAGCCCTTACACAATCTATGAATCTTAACCCCAAGGTCTCCTCAAGAAAGAAAACCTGAATCATCCCCTTCACGCAGATCTGTGGTCAATCCTTCTCCTACAGAAAACTTTTCCACTAAAACACCACCAAGAATTCCAAGTGCCACTCCCAGAGGTTTTGATATTCAACTCACCTCACTGTCTCCAAAAGGCTTCGTCCAAATATCAGGAAGCACTTGTCTCAGAATCAGCTGCACCTCAAATATCTGAAAGCCTGCAATCAAAAACAACGAGAGAGACTCAGAAGTGGAGAGATGTTCTGCTTTGTAGAAATTAAAACATTTTTCAGTGGATGGGTCAAACTTGGAAGTGGAAACCAAGGAAAACATTCTAAAATAGAGGGGATACATCAGACCCCAGAAGAGTAATGACAATACTCATTTCTTTTTCAAATTAACTCGCTCTCTGTTAAGGAGTTTTCTTCTCAGTGAATACATACATAAATTAGTACATGTCCATGCTGACAGTGATGGGGGAAAATGGGACACAGAAGTAATATTATACAAAAGAAAATTTGTGGGGACAAAGGAGAAAGATGATTGGGCACCTGTCGGGGGCATAGCCTGAAGACAGCCATGGCTCACCCTGTGGACCCCAGCCACTTGGAAGTTGGACAGCCCTGGTTTAGGACAAGGAAAACTGGCAGACTGTCACATTGTTCCAGAGATCCACCTCAGTTTTAGATGGAGCCACAGACACCACAAAAGCCTTCCCCAAAAGCTCCCACAACAGAGCTGGTTCAGGGAAGAGAAAAAAAAAAAGGAATAGCAACGTAATGAGGTGAAAATATGACAGAAGCTGTAGTACTGATAGTGAACTGGGAATTTTATTTAAATGGACAAGTAAAAGTGTTAACAAGATCAATAGTAACATGGACTGAACAAAGAGAAAAACCTGTATATATTCAGCACACCTGCTCAAGGCACTGAGAAATCAACAATCTGATTTCATACCTGTTAGGTCAGAGACAACCATGGACTCCCCCTCTTTTGCTGAGGAGACCCAGCGTGTCACTTCATCAATCACCACTTTCAGTGTATCCTTGTCTAAAGTGCTAAAAGAAGATCAGGAAGAAAGGAACACAGACATAAAAGCAACATTAAACTATGCTCTGCTTTAGAGAAAGGAGGCCTGTTCATTTCTACTGTGGTCACTGTATAGAGACACTCACAGAAACATCTTGACAGTTTACCAGACTCTGTATATAGTCCCCAAGGAAACACAAAGCTGGAAATCAGACATTCTCCCAGATCATTACAATTAAGTACTCTGACTGCTTATGAAGCATTAAGCAAAGATCTCACTTTTACCTGCGGACTTTCCAATTCCCAGCAAAAAGTTCTTGCTGAAGTTTCTTCTCCTGTACCTCATTCATATATGGTATACCATCTTTAAGAAACTGAAGACAGAACAAAAACCCAAAATAGCTGATTATTAACACCAAAGAATCCCGTGATTGACAAACAAGTAAAACAGTAGCATGACAGGAATGCTCACAATTGATGTCTGTTTTGGGAGATTTACAACATTTCTAATATTGTTCTCCCCATGTCTCCATCATATTTTCTTGGAAAAATACAGTATTCAAAGCCTTCAAATAACTTACATAATAAAGGAAAGCTGTATTTATGAGATATGCCAAAAGACTCAAAGGTAAAGAGGGAAAAATATAGAATGATGAGAGACTGTGTATGAGAGACAAAGTTGGGGTCTTGGAAAACTGTAAATATAGAAGAACCAAAAGCTCTTTTTTCCAAAGTCAGGATTCTAAACTAGGTCTTCTGAGAAAATCCCAGCTTTGAAATTGTATCCAATTTAATTAAAACCTCATCCCACCACCAGTTTTACTTAGATACAACACTCATGTGCCTTCAACTATTGGAAAGTGCTGCTACATACTGGCACTGACTAATGTCCAACTAAAAGACAGCTGCACATCACAGACAGGTAAAATGAGCTTGCCTTAGTGAAAAGGTAAAGTTTGTTTTCGGGGGGGAGGGGTCAGCACAAAGATAAATTCAATAACCATTTTCTCAACTGAGTTTCTAGTCTCACAATCCTATGTTGATTCTTACATCCTCTGTAGAATCCCAAAGGCAGGACCACAGCAGTTAATTACTGAAACAGCACTGAAGATGCACAAAAACCCGTCTCAAACACAAATGACCCAAAGTTATTCTCCCATCGTTTAGATCCTGCATGGTCTGCAGCATGGGTGACAGCCTACATAGCAGGAAGGAAGAAAGTCTTAATAGGCTGAGAAGAGCAGCCATTTTTCTCTTAAGGCAAAACTGCCAAAGATGTGGTGGCTGTGTCATGGCTACAGAACAGTTTAAATTCCAATACCCTTAGCAAGAACGCAGTCCAAGTGATCAAGGCAAAAACCCACTTACAAAAGAAATGTAGGGTTTGAGCATTTTCTTTTCTTTTTTTAATGTTTTCCCCTAGCTATGCAAGCCACATCTCTGCTCCAGTCATTTACAACAGAGAGAACATACCTTGTTATAGTCAAACCCATAATGAGTCAGGAACTGAATGCTAGATGCCTGGAAGGAGAATTCCGAATCCAGGGTTCCAAACATTGTGGGGAAGAGGAAAAAGTTATACGAATGTGCCACATACCTACAGGAAAAAGGAAAGACATCTAAAACAGGACTGTGGTGAAGGACTGCCATACTATAGCCTCCAGCACAGATCCCAACTGCATTATCTCCATTTAACATAAGACATGGACTTGAAGAGCCCTTTTTACTTACTCGTTTGATTTCTCACTAGAAAATATCGACAAACCTGAAAGACACAAACACAAAGCCATAATACCAAGTTGAGTGTTTGGACCCATCTCCTGCTTACTGCAAAACAAACAGGATGGGGCAAGTTCCCTTTAATACGCCAAATTTTATTAATTTACTGTTGCACTCTAATCAAGACAGTGACTTCTAGATCACCACTAAGATACCCCAATGGGGGTAGCATAGGCACAGGCTTCCCAGATAGTTCAACAGGAATAGAATTTCAGCATGCAGAGAGAGGAACAATTCATCTAGGCGAGGATACAGATGCTATGAAATAGCAGGCATGAGGAAAGCTGCTAATAAAAGTCATAAATTGTGTCATAGGTCTACAGGCCCAGTTGCACTACATGCAACACAACATTGGTAGAGATCTTATTAAGAGCAGATATATCCACTGACAGAGCTCAAGCATTATAGACATTTCATAGGGCTGGAAGGGACCCTGGAAGATCATCAAGTCCAACCCCCTACCTCAGGGGCAGGAAGTCAGCTGGGGTCATAGGATACCAGCAAGAAAAACATCCAGGTTTCTCTTGAAGGTGTTCAAAGTAGGTGCTTGAACTACCTTCAGTGGCAGGCTATTTCAGACCTCAGACAGTAAAGAAGTTCTTCCTTATGTCCAGCCTGAAATGGTCTTGCAGGAGTTTATAACCGTTTGACCTTGTCATCCCTTGGGGAGCTGTGGTGAACAAACGTTCCCCCAGATACTGATGGTCACCCCTGATAA